CAGATATTCTAGCATCGATGAGAATGAAATACATACACAAGTTTTCGAAGCAAAGAAGCGTGATTAGTAATTGTATAAATCTATAATATCTGATATTTTAGTATTTTTTTCTCTAGTTGTTGGAGCAATTGGTCTGTCATTCATCACACTATAATGTTCGACTGATAAAGCATAGCCTATCTTATGCCTACATGCCAATTGCTATAAATATTGACGGCCAGTATCATTCTTACCTCTATATACTCTGAAAGCATAATCAGCACCTATTTTTCTTAACATATATGAGGTAATTCTATGGCGACTTAAGAATTGATTAAGAGGTACAACATTAGTATTCCCATTCTTATCTTTTAACAAGAAGGGAAATTTATCTGGTATTGATCTCTGAATCTAGATAAGTAATTCTCTTGCCCGTATTGGATTTTTTTCTATTGAAAGGAATGGTCGAGATTCTTCTACTTCACTTTTATTTTTTGTATAACCAATACAGTACCAAGAATGGTCAGGATTATACCATAACTCATGACTTGGTTTGTATCGATTGATACGAAGATTTTCCACATCTGCTGATTGCATACATAACATTATCATTACATCTATTAGATTTTGCATTGAAGGAGGCTTAGTAATATTATATTCGTTAAGTCTTTTCTGAACTTTTTCTAGGTAAAAGAACTCATAACAATCGTAACCATTAATTCCACGAAGTATACACTTTCTTGCTTGAATCTGATTTGCTTCTTCAGTAATAAAAGGTATTTTCGTTGCCTCAGTAATAAGATAATCATCTTCTAAGCTATGCAACTCTTTCTGTAATAAATTAAGATGAGAATTTCCTGCAACAGTAGTAAAAGCAGAAGAAGCCAAGTCATTTCTATTTATTTCTTCAGGTGAGAGATTATTTTTTATAATATCTTGGGTAATAATTTTAATGGGATCTCTTTCATAAACATGTCTTCTAGGAGCTCGAATAGGAATAAGAGTATCAGCTTGTTCTTTACTCAATTCCAACTCTTGGAAGTATCTTTTGGTCTGATCTCTGGCTTTTCAGGCCTGCTCTTTTGTTTTACCATCTGAAAGTTTATTAGCCAACTCTTTGGCATAACTACTAAGCTGAGATAAACTAGTTTGAGGAGAGGTTAGCCGAATATATGAAAACTAATAAAGAGTATAGATCTCAAAGAAAACTTTATAAAGAAGTTGAAAAACAGCTCCCATCTAACCTCTTGAAAAATGCAATTGAGAAAAGAATAGAAAGAGCAAGGAAAATTTATAACCTTTTTAGTAGCATAGGTGAGGATAAAA